TTAAATCAGAATTCAGAGTTATAGTCAGAATTGCCAGTTATCAAGTCAATATTCAGTTGTAAAGTCAGAATTGCCAGTTATTAAGTCAGAATTCAGAGTTATAAAGTCAGAATTGCCAGTTACAAAGTCAGAATTCAGAGTTATAAAGTCAGAATTCAGAGTTATTAAGTCAGAATTGCCAGTTATTAAGTCAGAATTCAGAGTTATAAAGTCAGAATTGCCAGTTACAAAGTCAGAATTCAGAGTTATAAAGTCAGAATTCAGAGTTATTAAGTCAGAATTGCCAGTTATTAAGTCAGAATTCAGAGTTTTAAAGTCAGAATTCAGAGTTATAAAGTCAGAGTTGTCAGTTATTAAATCAGAATTCAGAGTTATAGTCAGAATTGCCAGTTATCAAGTCAATATTCAGTTGTAAAGTCAGAATTGCCAGTTATTAAGTCAGAATTCAGAGTTATAAAGTCAGAATTGCCAGTTACAAAGTCAGAATTTAGAGTTATAAAGTCAGAATTCAGAGTTATTAAGTCAGAATTGGCAGTTACAAAGTCAGAATTCAGAGTTATAAAGTCAGAATTCAGAGTTATAGTCAGAATTGCCAGTTATCAAGTCAAAATTCAGTTATAAAGTCAGAGTTGCCAGTTATTAAGTCAGAATTCAGAGTTATAAAGTCAGAATTCAAAGTTATAAAGTCAGAATTGCCAGTTATTAATTCAGAATTGGCTGTTACAAAGTCAGAATTCAGAGTTATAAAGTCAGAACTCAGAGTTATAAAGTCAGAATTGCCAGTTATTAAGTCAGAATTGGCAGTTACAAAGTCAGAATTCAGAGTTATAAAGTCAGAATTGCCAGTTATTAAGTCAGAATTTAGAGTTATAGTCAGAATTGCCAGTTATTAAGTCAGAATTCAGAGTTATAAAGTCAGAATTGCCAGTTATTAAGTCAGAATTGGCAGTTGCAAAGTCAGAATTGCCAGTTATTAAGTCAGAATTCAGAGTTATTAAGTCAGAATTCAGAGTTATAAAGTCAGAATTCAGAGTTATAAAGTCTGAATTGCGAGTTACAGTCTTTATTGTTTTGTTCAATCCACCTAAATTTGTAAAAAACAAATAAGTTAATTAATTTGAGTTGGGACAACATTAAGAAATTGTGTGGCATTTTTTACAGTATAAAAATCATTACGGTATATCTATGGTGGGATTGTGCATGGATGTGTGCGTTAATGAATGTGTGTGTGATATGCACTCAGAATCACTGTAACAGACCAAATTTTGTATGATTTTTACCCAAATGCACCCTTTAGGCCATAATGGAAACACACCCACCACGGCCAAATCTGAACACAGAGCCAAACTGAAATGGAAAATGTGTTACGGCCCGAAAAAACCGTCCCGAGAGAGAAGACCCGCGACATGTAGATTACCTCATCTCATTGTACAAAGCCCCAAAGTTTCCAAAATGCACCTGCGTGTGCTTTAAATGATTGGCATGAAATCAATGTAATACATTTTTGTTTGCTGTTCTTGGCGCGCGTCCCTGTTGTCTTGAATGGGGTAGTGTTTCTTTTTAAAGACTTCTTCAGCAATTCAAAGCACGGTTAAAATGTTACTGTCGTCTTAAGTACGACTCCGAGCAAGGTAATCGTTTGGCTAACAGCGATCCGCTTCAAGTGTTTATTTCAGGTTTTATATGCGCTCAGAGTACTTTTTAATTCACGGTACATCATAATTGCTTTGCTTTCTTTGAGGTTGCATGAAGTCAAATTCCTATTTTATTTGTTCTCATGTTACCGGTTTCATAAAAATGTACTGTAGTATTAAAAATGCATGCAGTCAATTTGTTTTACAATGAATTGCTTTGTAAATGTTTCTGCTTTCATATAAGATTCATAAAAGCATAGATATGAAATGAGTTAATGATTTTTATTATTAATTATAATTATAATAATTATTATTATTTATTTAAAATATCAGATGTTCAATGTAAATATAATAATAATAATAGTAATAATAATAAAAATAATTTATATATATATATATATATATATATATATATATATATATATATATATATATATATATATATATATATATATACAGTTGAAGTCAGAATTATTAGCCCCCCTTTGATTTGATTTGATTTTTTAAATATTTCCCAAATGGTGTTTAACAGAGCAAGGAAATTTTCACAGTATGTCTGATAATATTTTTTCTTCTGGAGAAACTCTTATTTGTTTTATTTCAGCTAGAATAAAAGCAGTTTTTACATTTTTTAATAGCAATTTTATGGTCAAAATTATCAGCTCCGTTAAATTATATATTTTTCAGTAGTCTACAGAACAAACCATTGTTATACAATAACTTGCCTAATTACCCTAACCTGCCTAGTTAACCTAATTACCTAATTAGTTAAGCCTTTAAATGTCACTTTAAGCTGTATAGAAGTGTCTTGAATAATATCTAATAAAATATTATTTACTGTAATCATGGCAAGGATAAAATAAATAAGTTATTAGAAATTAGTTATTCAAATTATTATGTTTAGAAATGTGCTAAAAAAATCTTCTCTCTGTTAAACAGAAATTGAGGAAAAAATAATCAGGGGGCTAATAACTCTGACTTCAACTGTACACTCTCAGAAATAAAAGTACAAATGCTGTAATCTAGGTAGTAGGGCTGCACAATATGTCATTTCAGCATCGATATCGCAATGTGCAAATCTGCAGTAGTCACATCACAGGATCTGCAACGTCAAGTTTGGGTAGTAATTAACTATAAAACACAGTTTAATACCTGCATTTTTTAAGGCTGACCTATTAATATGAAAGTATTTTATTTGGATGGGTGTTTTAAGGCTGGTGACTGTAAGATTTCAAGTTAGTTTAAACCATTTGTGCACAAGAAATTGAAAAGTTTGCTGCTTTAACAAAGATAATGATTAATTAATACAATATGACTACGCTGCATTTTATTATTTTTTTTTTTTTTTACTTTTGATTATTGAAATTCTATACTTCAATACTGTGAAACTCCAGATGAAAACCATAGTGTGGTTTATTTATTGTTATATTTGTTCTGTGTTTTCATCTGTTTTAATCTATTCATTCTGTGTATTTTATGCTGATGCACTCCCCTGCAAATAAGTCCAATCAATATAAATTTAGCAATTATTTCCAAATAGGGTCATCTTCATCATTCATTCATTTTCTTGACGGCTTATTCCCTTTATTAATCCGGGGTCGCCACAGCGGAATGAACCGCCAACTTATCTAGCACGTTTTTACGCAGCGGATGCCCTTCCAGCCGCAACCCATCTCTGGGAAACATCCACACACACTCATTCACACTCAGACTCATACACTACGGACAATTTAGCCTACCCAATTCACCTGTACTGCATGTCTTTGGACTGTGGGGGAATTCGGAGCACCCAGAGGAAACCCACGCGATTGCAGGGAGAACATGCAAACTCCACACAGAAACGCCCATTGAGCCGAGGCTCGAACCAGCGACCTTCTTGCTATGAGGCGACAGCACTATCTACTGTGTACATCGTAGGGTCATCTTGTGAAATCATATTCATACCGCAATATATAGCAGAAAAACAAAATTTCGCAATGTCAGTATTTTCCAATATCATGGAGACCTGGGTGGTTCTCTTCCAAAAGGTTTTTTATTTTATTTTTTGTACTTGTTAGGTACAAAATAGGTACCTTTAAAGTACAAACTAGACTGTTAAGGTACTAATTCATAACTCTAAAATGCCAATGTGAATCCTTTATGTTTAAATACACAACTTTAAGGTAAAACTATGGATCCTTTAGGTCAGTGGTGTCCAAACTCTGTCCTGGAGGGCCGCTGTCCTGCTTTCAGTTTAGTTTCAACCCCAATCAGACACACCTGGGCTAGCTAATCAAGCTCTTACTAGGCTTTCAAGAAACATCCTTGCAGGTGTGTTGAGGCAAGTAAAATCTGCAGGACACCGGCCCTCCAGGACCAAGTTTGGACACCCCTGCTTTAGATACTAATATGTAACTTAAGTACAAAAGTGTACTTTGAAAAGAATAGCATTCTAATGACAGCTTTTTCTACCTTTATTTTGGAGATATGTACATATATTATAGCATGGTATAACATTATAACAATAACATGCATATGTTTATTCTACTGTATATGTGTGTGTGTGTGTGTGTATGCTTCCACAGTATAATTTGAAATTGGATATAAAAGATATCAGATTAAAATAAATGTTGGGTTGGAAAACGTAAAACTCAGGCTCATAATTGATATGTGTCCTTATATAAATTTCCAGAGAGCGCAAAATATGTCCCAGGAGGTTCAATTATTTATTTATTTTTTGCAGTTTTTGTTTTCGCGAATCCACCAGAGGCTGCTGTGAGCGCTTTTGCAGATCTCAAATTTCTCACGAGTGCCATTCATGCGTGCTGTTTTCACATAAATCCACCAGAGGCCGCTGTTGACTGACTGATTGACCCACCCACCCTCTTCCCTAAAGCCAATCGATAGTGTTTTCAAAAGCAATCCAGAAAAAAAAAGCCCTTGCTGCAGCCTGACTTTTACAGTGTTTTCCGATTTTACCACATTCTCACTATGTTATTTACTTGCCGTTTGTTTTAGCTTTACCTGCTTTCTGGAACCGTTCTTCACCGGTCTCAAACCCCATCCCCACAGTCAACTTCACTCTGCATCTCAAGTCTGCCGACGGATAACCCATCATCACAGAGGTAAGCGATCAGCTGGTACCGCAAAAAAATGAATAGAAGTCGGTGGCGGCGTCATATCGCCCCGTAGCGTTCGTTTTTACGATGAAATGCAGCCATACGTAGCTCTGGCTACATAATTTGCGCTCTCCAGAAATGTATACGGGGGTGCGTTTTCACGATGAGCATGAGTTGCGAACTTAACTTCTGTGAAGCACAAATATTGGAGAACTGCCAGACGGAATCAAAAGCACAATTTGAGATGTTTGCTTGAGCTCTCACTGACCTGTCTGGAGTGGAGAGGTATTTCTGCTTCTGGAACTTCTTCTCCAGGCCCAGGAGCTGCAGCTCGGTGAAGATGGTGCGGCTGCGGCGGGGTTTCTTTAGCCGCGGAGTGCAGTGCTCCGTATCAGACTCACTGCTGATGCTGAGGGGAGTCTCGCTGGATGGAGGCAGATGAGGGGACGACTGAGACAGAGGAGACACACTGCTGGACGCCTGGTGTGTGATCACAGACAGCAGAGGATACGACCTCAGAGGAACAGAGCCTGGACAACAAGAGCAACGCAATGAATAATCATTTGGTAAATGCACTTATCATATACAGTTGAAGTCAGAATCATTATCCCTCTTGTGAAATTTTTTAAATATTTCCCAAATTATGTTGAACAGAGGAAGGAATTTTTCACAGTATTTTCTATAATATTTTTTCTTCTGGAGAAAGTCTTATTTGTTTTATTTCAGCGTGAATAAAAGCAGTTTTTAATTTTTTTAAAACCATTTTAAGGTCAAAATTATTAGCCCCCTAAAGAAATGTGTTTTTTGATTTTCTACATAACAAACTATCATTATACAATGACTAACCTGATTACCCTAACCTGCCTAGTTAACCTAGTTAGTTAACATAGTGGTTTTAGTTTAGCATTTGTACTGGTTTACTATAAAGATTTTTATAATTGTATTAGTTTACATTTACAGTTTTATCTGTACCGTTTCAGAAGGGTTAAGCCGTTCAATAATTTCCCTTCGGCTTAGTTCCTTATTTATCAGGGGTCGGGCACGCCAACATGGGGAGAGCATGCAAACTCCACACAGAAATGACAACTTGCCCAGCTGGGACTCGAACAGCGACCTTCTTGCTGTGAGGCGACAGTGCTAACTACTGAGCCACTATGCCGCCCAAAAGGATTAAGTGTTTACTTAATATATACCTTAATTTAACCTTCCTTTACTAAAGTCATATTAATAAACAATCGAAAATAATTCGTATAGCTGTCATTCATTCATTCATTCATTCATTTTCTTGTCGGCTTAGTGCCTTTATTAAACTGGGGTCGCCACAGCGGAATGAACCGCCAACTTATCCAGCAAGTTTTTACGCAGCGGATGCCCTTCCAGCCGCAACCCATCTCTGGGAAACATCCACACACACACACACTCATACATTACGGACAATGTAGCCTACCCAATTCACCTGTACTGCATGTCTTTGGACTGTGGGGGAAACCGGAGCACCCTGGAGGAAACCCATGCGAACGCAGGGAGAACATGCAAACTCCACACAGAAACACCAACTGAGCCGAGGATCGAACCAGCGACCCAGCGGCCTTCTTGCTGTGAGGCAAACGTGCTACCCACTGCGCCACTGCGTCGCGTATAGCTGTCATATTAAATATAATTGTATGTCTTTACTGTTGTATTAAGTCTATAAGACATGACTTACAAATTGATGGCTGTAGAGTCTATATACAGACAAAAATATGTACAAATTTTCATCTTTAACTAATCATACTTTATAAAGATTATCATAAAGTACTAGAGATTAATAAGTAATGAAGTTGCGCATCCATAAAACATCACACACGACTGTGAAACCTAGTTTACAAGCTGCTAAAGTGAGCCAGCTATAACCCCGAGTTTTAACAGCCGTCACGTCTGAGTGAACTCAAACCTTGTAATGGCGTCGACCCGCCTTCACTAATGGTGTAGGTAAGTGTTAAGAGTGTTGGCCTGTGTGATGTAAGGTGGCTGAACTGCAGTGATGTAACTGCTGTTTCACACTGAACTCTGAAAGGATAATGAGTCTCCTGTGATGCACACTGACACCGACATGATGCACTCTGGGTAATAATTTTAAAACTGAGACATCAGTACCACCTTCCTTAGGTTTTAATATTTCTAAGTCTTCCTCTCTCTCTTTCTTTGTCTCGTGCTTTTTTATTTTTTCAGACATCAGCAAGACGCCAGAGTCCATAAAAAGCAGTACGGGAGCCGTCTGAGCGTAGAGAGAGGTCGTGTAGTGTATAATACCTCCAAGAGGAAAAAAAAAAAGCTCATGTCGTCAAGCTAAATAACGGATCCTGTGATTTACTGAGGAAAGCGAGAATGGCAGAGCGTTTTTTTGTGAAATGAATACATGATGTCATGTCCATTTCACAGGCAAATTGCCTGCAATCTTATTTAATCCGCAGTAAATGTCTGGCATGTCTTATCTGATGGATAATTGCTTGTAGATGAAAAGACAAATGATTGCGGTAAAGCCTGTTTTTTTTTTTTGTTTATTTATTTATTTTTATCAAAAATCATTTCCTTGTTGAATATGACCTGAAGGAAACACTGGTTGTTAAGACAGCAATGCGCAAACAATGGAAGAGCTTTCGAGATTCATTGAGGTGAAGTTGGTCTTGTATTCGCACAATGGTTCAGTGACAACATGTGACATGCTCCAAATATTGTTAGCTGATGATTGATTATACAGCGTGTTTGGCATGCTGTCCCGAGAGAGAGCCCTGAGCTCATAAGATCCTCGAGCCCGGGGCTCCCTCCCGTTTGCAAGGTGAGAGGGGAGTTTGAGCTCAGGTAGATCTCGGGAACTCCCAGCCTTATCTTATGAGAAAACATAAGTATTTTACGTTTTGGCAGTTTAGTGGCTAATTCGTATGAATTCGTCCGAGTTCATTCATACGAAATTGTACGATTTTAAAAAGAAGGCGTGGCACCTAAACCCACCCCTTAACCCAACCGTCATTGGGGGATGAGCAAATCGTACTAAAATGTACAAATTAGATTGTACGAATTTGTACGAATTAGCCACTAAATGAAAGTTACGAATTGCCGTGAGATTGTGTTGGAACTCCACTGCTGTAGTAGCTAATGAACAGATAGTGATTGCTCTTACGAGATAACTACTTACTAGGAGCATGTCTATGATGCCGATTTGGATTAGTCAATTAACTTAAGTTGCATGTTTTTGGACGGTGGGAGGAAACCGGGGAACCCGGGGGAAACCCACATGAGCACGGAAAGAGCATGTAAACTTCGCACAGAAATGTCGGCTGGCTTGGTAAGGACTAGAACCAGTGACGTTCTTGCTGTGAAGCAACAGTGCTAACCACTGGGCCACCGTGCCACCCATCTAGGAAAGGAGGAGGAGTAGGGGTGGAAGAGGGGGTTCTTCAAAAGAAAATGGCTGTTATATGGAATTTAGGGTATTTATAGTGGCTTATGAATTGTCTGATTGGTGAATCATAAATGGAATACTGCGGGACCGGCTGCAAGCAATCGTAAGCACATGATCCTCTCGAAGTTTACAAATAGTTTATAAATAAACTTCACATCATTATGCTTTGAATATTCGGTCTGAAATCACATGAATTTATTTCACTAATATTTTTGTAATATAACGGTCATAATAGTAATATAAAAATGTTCATATGATTTATTTACAACACAGTTTGGAAAGTAACATGTTATGTCTTTTAGTAGATGTTATATGAGATACTTGCGGTTTAGTGGCTCTAATTGGATTTGCATTGCAAACATTAAATAAAAGTTAAAAATGTATTGTTTTTTTTATTTCGTATATTAAGTTTTTTAGTTACGATACTCCTAAAATAATTCCGCATAAATCCACAGATTTTTACAAAATTTTCTGCCGAAATAGCAAAAAATGTCCGCAGATTCTGTCTGGCCCTATTGGATGCTAATATGAGTTCACTATTTAGAATTTGCAAAGAAAGTAGCGCAGTAGGTAGCGCTGTCGCCTCATAGCAAGAAGGTCGCTGGTTCAAGCCTCGGCTGGGTCAGTTGGCGTTTCTGTGTGGAGTTTGCATGTTCTCCCTGCGTTCACGTGGGTTTCCTCCGGGTGCTCCGGTTTCCCCCACAGTCCAAAGACATGCAGTACAGGTGAATTGGGTACAGGCTAAATTGGCTATAGTGTATGAGTGTGAATGAGAGTGTATGGATGCAACTGAAAGGGCATCCATTGTGTGTAACATGTGCTGGATAAGTTGGCGGTTCATTCGGCTGTGGCTACCCCAGATTGATAAAGGGACTAAGCCTAAAAGAAAATGAATAAATGAATCAACTGCTGGATCTTTTTTTTATTATTATTTATAAATGTTAAAAATATTACAAATTTCAATTGAAACTAATTTGGGTTTATAATATAATGATATTAAGTTTATTTTTATTAGCAACTTACAAAGGGACAGTACAAGAAAAAGACAAAGGGAAAGCAGAACTTTTCAACACTCATAAATGCACAAACATGCATGCACTTACACATACAAGTCAGGATGATCTCATTGCTATCAACGCAACACGTCCAGGCATGACATGCCTTCTGGCTCATCTCTATCTGTCTTTCCCTCCTACCTCCCCCGTGCTTAATTTGAAAATATTTCATTACATAGAAATATTTTTATTATACTGTGTACTTCTATATTAATCAAATGAAAAGTTACTACAATGTTTTTTAGTGTTTTGCTTCTCTCCCCAAAGCAAACAGATATTATGTTTATCTCATTTTAAGCAAATGCATCATCAACCTGTTCGGCCACAGTCTGCAGTTCACATGTCCACTAGTAATATGCCTTCAGTTATTAGTTAAGAGCTGTCTAACTGCATCCGAGATCCCTGTTAATTGCTCTAACAAACATGAATCGATGTAATCATTTTCCCGAGGTCTCATTATAAAGATGCGACTGTTTTGGATTCATGTTTTGAGTAAATGTAATGTGAAAAATCTGTGCTAAAAAAGGCAGCAACATTTCATTCGACCCAAAAACATCTAAAGCAGTTAAGGGTGTTACATTTCCTTGTTATGACAGGCCGGCTATATCAGAAAATCTTTTGCTTTGAGCTCAACACCTTGACTTGTCATGCATGTGTTTTGGAACGACGTGTCAAGTTTTCATTACTCACAATAGAGCCGTGAACCCTGCGCTTTCCCCAACCGATGGCTAAAAAACAGTAGCAAACCCTAAGCTCTTGATTGCCCTCTTTCACTCCTGTCTTATTTTTCCCTTGACTGATTGGATTCCAGCGAGATGATTTCATTTGGCACTTGATGTACATTTGAACTCTCTCTAACACGTACACTGTGTTTTGGTTGGGCCATGTGGTGACAGATTTAATGCTTCATCACTCATTTCAGTTTTTTTTTTTAATATCTAAATCTATGGAGCAACAGAAAACACACACACGTTACACGTGCACGTACACACACTAGACAGAGCCTCTGCAAGCCAATTGGAAGGTATAGTTT